GCCAGTCTAGACTGTGAACGAATAGTTTAGTCTTATAAGGAACCGATAGGTGATCTTTCTGTTCGAAACTCTTCTAACCACACTACCTCAATATAAGACATGGAGTATGATGGCATAAATAAATAAACTGCAAGCATATGTACTTTGACCGAAACATGATGGCCAGATCAAAATGGAATTGATAGAATCTGTAAATAGGAGCTTTTACAGCATACCTCTAACAATGACGTACGTCAAGTCACCCTTCACCTTTCGGCTTAGGGCATCTGCGACGACGTTCGCCTTTCCAGGATGATACTGGATAGAACAATCATAATCTTTGACCAGTTCGAGCCAACGGCGCTGTCTCATATTAAGCTCCTTCTGCGTGAAGATATACTGCAAGCTCTTATGGTCTGTGAAAATCTCGCAGCGTCCGCCGTAAAGATAATGTCGCCAGATCTTCAGGGCATGAACGACTACTGCTAACTCCAAGTCGTGCGTAGGATAGTTCTGCTCATGAGGCTTAAGCTGACGTGAAGCATACGCGACGACCTGGCCGTCCTGCATAAGGACACATCCCAAGCCCTGTCTCGAAGCATCGCTGAAGATAGTGAAACTCCGAGAAGGATCGGGAATAGTCAACACCGGTGCTGAAGTTAATCTCCTCTTGAGCTCTTGAAAGCTCGCCTCACATCGGTCAGTCCAGTCGAACTTCACAGACTTCCTCGTCAGCTGGGATAGAGGGAGGGCGATCTTAGAAAAGCCCTCGATGAATCTGCGATAGTAACCAGCTAAACCGAGAAAACTGCGAACCTTGGACGAACTCCTCGGTGTCGACCAGTTCTGAACAGCTGATACCTTAGAAGGATCCACCTCGATGCCTGCCTGAGTAATCACATGACCCAGGAAAGATACTCGCTGAAGCCAGAACTCGCATTTGGAGAATTTGGCGTACAACTTTTCTCGTCTGAGGGTTTCAAGAACCACCCTCAGATGCTCCTCATGCTCCTTCTGTCTCTTCGAGTAGATAAGGATATCGTCAATAAAGACAATAACGAATTGATCGAGGTAGGGATGGAAAATACGGTTCATGAGGTCCATAAAAATTGCTGGCGCATTGTTGAGACCGAAAGGCATGATGACAAACTCGTAATGGCCGTAACGAGTCCTGAAAGCGGTCTTAGCGATGTCTGACTCCTTAATCTTCAGCTGGTGGTAGCCTGATCGTAAATCAATCTTCGAAAATACACAGGCTGCCCTCAGCTGATCAAATAAGTCGTCGATCCTGGGAAGCGGATACTTATTCTTGATCGTCAACCGGTTAAGATCCCGGTAGTCGATACACATGCGCATAGATCCGTCCTTCTTCTTGACAAAGAGAACGGGTGCTCCCCAAGGTGACACGCTCGGTCGGATAAAACCGAGTCGTAACAGCTCCTGAATCTGAGTCTTAAGCTCCTGCAACTCCTTAGGCGCCATGCGATATGGGGCTTTGGATACTGGACCGGCCCCTGGGATAAGGTCGATAGAAAACTCCACCTGACGGTTGGGCGGTCCTCCTGGAAGCTCGTCTGGGAACACGTCCACAAACTCGCGAACAATTGGAAGATCATGAGGTGTTCGCGCTTTCTGAGAATCGTCGACAAGGCTTACCTGATAACCCTGGCAGTTGCCTCGTCGCAATAACTTAGTGGCTTTCGCCATCGAAACAACCTGAGGTAGTGAACGATTCCTGGAGCCGAAGAAAGTAATCGATTCGTCTCCCGGAAGATAGAGAGTGATCTCCCGGTCATGACACCTGATGTCAGCATGATAGAAGGATAGCCAATCCATCCCGAGAATAAGATCGAAGTCTCTCATCTCGAGAACAAACGCGTCGGCAGTCAATACTCGGCCACCGATGGAAAGGCTAAGATCTGAGGCTTTAGCTGAGGTCACTATCTTTCGTCCCGAGGCTAAACTCACCTCGAGAGGATCGACAGCGGTAACGGCGTGAACTCCGATGGCATCGAGACATCGTCGTGAAATGAAAGTATGCGTCGCTCCAGTATCAAATAAAGCGAACACAGGAATATCATTGAGAACAACCATCCCCGACATAGTACCTGGCTGCTGAGCTGCCTCGGCCTGATCAACCGCGTAAACCCTGGCCTGCTGCCTGCCCCTCTGCTGCTGCTGCTGAGGCGGCCTCTGTGCATGCTGTCGTGGCTGCTGTTGCTGTGGTGGCTGCTGAGGCTGCTGAGGCCACTGCTGGAGTTTCTTCGGACAGCGATTCGCAAAATGTCCCGGCTCATGGCAATAGTAGCAAATGTCCAGTCCCATACGGCACTCTCCCCGATGAAGTCGTCCACAGGTCGGGCACGGTGGAATCAGCTACTGTCTCTGTCGGGTCCTCCGGTCAGTCTGTGCACCCTTTCCCTTCCTCT